TCCTAATAAATCCCCTCCAAATCAGCCCCCAAATATGTCCTCTTCAATTAGGAAATATTTCCTAATTAATCCCCTCCAAATCAGCCCCTAAATCTACCCTTTTCAATTAGGAAATATTTCCTAATTAATCCCCTCTAAATCATAATCCAAATATACTCTCTTCAATTAGAAAACATCTCCTAATTAATTCCTTTTGATTAAGAACCTTCTTAAATAACTCCTTCTTGATTAGAAAATTTTTTAATTCCCTCCCAATCAAATCGGCCGGCCAATCAGTAGCTTCTATTATAGACTTTGTGGTAATATCCATTGTAGACGTTTGTGGAAGCCACTAGCCACCATCAAGGACTTTCAAGGACAAATTGGGCCACCATTTCAAACAATCACCACATTGGCATCCTTCCAAAAAAGATGTTGCATCCATTGTGCCCTTGAAGGGATAGAAATCAAGACATAATGATCAAGCCAAGCCCTATTGAAACCTAAACCCTATAATTAATCGCCTTTGTCAACATACCTGCAAGATTATTATCTTAAAAAAATACCTGCAAAATTATCTATAGTCTCAATCTTTCAAAGTAGAATATCTCAATGTTTTAAAGTAGAACATTCCCTTCTTTTACTATTTCTCTAATAAAGCAATACTGAACATTGATATTCTTATGATGGACTTAATATTTGCCAAACAAATAACTCTTTGATTATCGCTAAAAACGCCCATACTTCTCTACATGCCTCCAAAGTATTTGGTCAAATTATGAAGCCAAATGGCATTTTTGAGAGCCTAAGTTATCGCCATATGCATTATCTCTGTAGTAGACAAAGCATTGGTTGATTGTACCATTGATCTTCAACTTAATGATCCTTTTGCATTGGTAAATGCATAACTTGTTGTTGATCGTGCTTTTCAAGATCACCAACATAATAAGAATCAACATATCCAAAAGACGATTTACAATTGTCTTATTGTTTCTTGAACTTCATACCCATATCCACAATTGCAGAGATGAGGATCCTTAAGTAGATGAGTGATTTTACTCTTTGAGATAGGACACGAAATGAGCATATACGTAAAAAGGTTGGAGTAGCTCCTGTGGAAGATAAGATTAGAGAGAGTTGCCTTAAAAGGTTTGGTCACATAAAACGGTGGTCGTCCGATGAACTGGTTAGGAAAGTAGATGTATTGGATTTGTCTTATGTTAAGAAAGGTAGAAGTAGACCTAAAAAGCTTGGTTAGAATTATTAGAAATGACCTTTATTTATTAGATTTAAATGAAAATTTGACTCTTAACATAACACAATGGAGAAAAAGGATTCATGTAGCCGACCCTCACATAGTGGGATAAAGTCTTGATGTTTTTGTTGTTTTGCTATTGTATTAGATTCATCTTCCAAATGATTATCAATTTGTTCTGAATTTCTAGGAATTTTAAACTCCGCCAGCTGAAGGGAGTTTGGATTTCAATTATCTTTATCTAAATTTGTCTGTTTCAGCATTGTAGACTCATCAAAGATAATATCGCACTAAATCGGACCTTATTTGGCTCAAGATTTCATTGACAAAATACCTTAAATCTTTTGCTAAAACCCATGAAATTAACTTTCTTGAATCTATGATCTAACTTTATTTTTTTTATATGATAATACGCAAACACCAAATGACCAAATAAACGCAGGCAACCATAATCAGAAATGGGTTTTCCAAACCAAATCTCCTACAAAGTTTTTACTCTAGTGCTGATGCAGGGAGAATGTTGATAATTTAAGAGGTGTACAATAATGCTTCTGTCCAAAACACATTGCTCATTCTGGATTGGGATAAAATGCATTGAACATTATCAAGCAAGGGACGATTCATTCATTCTATCATGTCATTTTGTTGAGGTGTTCCTAGAATAATAGCTAACATTAAAAACACAAATCTGGCTAGTATTTCCCTCCATTATAAGACCTAACCCTTCTAATTTTCTTGCTTGTATAGATATCTATCATTTTATTTCATTTAAGAAAGTTATCCAGAACTTCATCATTGTGCGTCATGGCATGTGCCCAAACATATCTTGAGAACTTGTCAATACAACAACAACAACAAGCCTTTATCCCACTATATGGGGCACAAAAAGGGGTGCAACACGAGGAGTTCCCCAGGAGGTCACCCATCCTAGTACTACTCTCGCCCAAGCAAGCTTAATGCGGAGTTCTGATGGATAAATGTAAAAAAAATTCAATATTAACTCCCAATAAAGCATTCTAAGAGGACCCCAACCTTTCGTGTACACATAGTCCAATGCCATCTTATTATCATAGATAAAAATGCCAAACTTGTCATTATTCGCTTGCCTGAGACATAATGCTTGTAGAAATCTCCCACACTTGGCAACTTTTATCAAACCTTTTCTGAACCAAATTCTACATAGTTTTCTCTCCAAAATACTCCAAGCACATATGTTAAACTTAGGAAGTATCAAATTAATCATTAGTTGAATTGGAGCAAATAGCATTTTTCACGTGATTGTGTCCATCAAGGAAATATATATATGTGCTTTCAGAGTATCCTTCATGGCCAAAAGAACAATTCACACCACCTTTAGGACTTCACCATCTAAGGTCACTTTGTAACGATAAGAGTCTAAGACTGCTAATGATATCAAATTCCTTTTCAGCTCAAGAGCATATCTATCTTTTATAAGTCACCTAATTATGCCAGCATCCATCTTCAAGCATATTGTTCTCATACCTTTTGTCCAGCATATATTATCATTGCCCATCAGCACAACTCCCCCGTCAAGCTCCTTAAAACTTGAAAACTAATACTGATTTGGACATATGTGATAGGAACATCCAGATATCAATATCCAACTATCATATTGGCTGTATGAAAATAAAACTAAAATTATTGATTCCTACTTATCAAAAGACTTTCGTACCACATTTGCATTTGACTTATTCTTATTCAAACAATCCTTCTAGAGCCCTTCTAGTGACAAAATGCACATTCATCCTTCACAGAATGTCTCCGTGATAATTGTCCTTTTGACCTCAAGTGAGATCTGTCTCACCACTAAATTTGCCATATTTTCTATTATTTGATCGATCTCTGGATATAGCAAGAGCCTCATATGTTGTATCTTTGCGATCAAATTGATCTTTCCTTCAATACTCATTGTTCACCAAAGAAATATCATTGAATTTAACTTCATCTTTACCATATAAAAAGTCATTGTAATGATTATATGCTTCCAGCAACAAATTTAATAAAAATAATGCCATATCTTCATCACTAATTTCAACATCAATATTCAACAAATCAATGAGAATGTTGTTTAAATTATTTAGGTACTCAATCATAACTCATAAGTATGCCTTTTTTTGGATTAGAAACGAAAAATCTTCTTCTCTAGATAGAGTTGATTGTCTATGATTTGTGTCATGTGCTTGTCCTCTAATTCTTTCAAGTCATTTTCACTAAGGTATCCTTCCTATTAAGCACTTTTTAATCTTTGCAGAGCACAGTTAGATTGTGCCAAAAGCTTGATGATTTATGAAGTTCCAATCTTGATTCGACATGTGCTTGAACTTAGCCACCAAAACAATATGAGATCCTTCTCTAATAAAAGGTCCACGACTTCTTACTATCACATGCCAAAGTTGTTAGTATTATAAAGTTTTTTTTTTTACATCTATCTTTGCATTGGATAACATAGTTCTCGGCATGGAACCTCTTGTGAACACTCCACTATTAATTTCAAATTGTTTGGTATGCTCGCATGGTCACATTACTAATTAAGCGCTTTGCTAGCCATTAAGTATCAACTTTTGGTATATGGCCTAGAATGGTTTTGATTATTAGATTGGTAGGGCAAACCAAGTTGGGTGCAGGACAGCTCAAACAAGACTGAGTTGCAAGTCAAATATGGCCAATTTGCAAATTATTATAATGGCCTTATTTTTCATTGAGTAGCATAAAGCTTCAACAAGTTAAACCAACTTTAAAAAGATTTTGGTCATATGTTAGCAACATGTATTTCATTTGTTTGACACATTATTTGGACCGATGGATTTCAGGCAACAAGCATAACCTCCTATTACAATAAAATATTAATTCCAACCACGTTGAATTTTAAACGAATGAACCAACATGTATATGCTACCTACTTGTTTACAAAGTCTCCAAAATTCAATAACACAAGAATTTAACGTGATTAAAAAATTTTCCTAAATCCACGAGAGGTGGCAACTTCATTATAAACATAGAGAAAACACTCAAAATTTCTCTCAGAATTTTCAGACATACAAAAAATGTTACAAGTTTAAGGAGTTACTAGTGAGATAATTTATAAGTGAAGATTAAATGAGTTTGTATATGAGAGAAATCATCTCTCAATATTAATAACCAACTGCCATTGAAAACTTGGGGGGTAGTCTTCACTATAGACTTTTGGGTTAATATGCATAGTAGCCTTTGGTGTAGCCATCATTAAGGGCTGTTGTGTTGGCTTCTATTTAGGACTTTCATTGAGCAAAGTGAGCCACAATTTTCAACATTATATATCCGAGCAAGTATAAGGATCCCTTCTTGGATAATAATTTGGCCAAAATTAGTAGAATTCAATATGATTTTGCTTATAAATTTCATTTTATGGTGCCATATCAGTTCTTCTCATCATCAACCTAAACAATCAAAGCTCACAGTTCTAGAACTACAGGGAAAGTATTTAAGAAAGCAGAAAAATAATTGCCTTCTATGTTAAAAACGCTAAACGAGATAAACCTCAATCAACAGTTTCCATACTATGTAGCAGTTGCAATGGTACTGGTATTTGAAAAGTGGTAAATGGAAGTCAAATTAGATCGTCTAGAATCTCCATAACCATAATAAGCGCATCCCTGATAAACGGGCATCTATCAAGTGGAAGGTGGAAAGGCATTTCATGCCAGGCATGACCACAATACAAACAAAACTAGAGAAAGTAATATGACACTGTGAATGAGATTCGCACCTCTGTCTTGGCGGAAGCGAACCCGCCGAGATCTCCCATATGGATCTCGCTCCCCTCCGTATCCATCATAACAGCGACGGCGAATCCCTTCTCCTCGTTCAACCGGCGCACCTGTCGTATAACCCGTCGGTGCCAATCGTGCGTGCCGTGGCACATGTTGACCCTCGCAACATTCATCCCGCCGACGGCAAGCGCTTCAATCTGCTCCGCTTCACATGTAGATGGCCCGATCGTGCATACCAGCTTCGTTCGGCGAGTGCTTCGGAACCCGTTCTCCTTCAGCTCCGCCTCCGTCACCGCATCGACGTCAATCGCCGATGCGGCCGCAGCGATAGAGACACCACCGATGCCATTTGTTGATGAGAGGATCACCGGAACGGGTGATGGATTAAGGTCTGGCGGTGGCGTATGCGCGGCGGCGGAGCTGCGGAAGAGGCGGAGTCTCACGGGTAGGAGCGACGGTCGTAGGAAAGGCGAAGAGGAGAGAGAGCGAGAGGGGTTAACAGGGGTCAGGAAGTGAAGGGATTGGGAGGCCATTTGAGGACGAAGCTTCGCCGGAGATGGGGCTTGGCAGTGGAGAAAGGAGAAGCAGAAGGTGATAGGGTTTAAAAAAATAATAAATATATTGGTGGCGACGACGTTTACGGAGTGGGAGATCTGAGTATTGAACTTCGAATTCTCCGCTGCCGAAAAGCAGCTAACCTTTAAGAAAGTTTTTTTTTTTTTTACCACTGTTTGTCCGAGTGGTGAAAAATAAGTCAGGCAAAGTCTTGATTTCTGATTTGGATTCATTGACAATCTTAAGTGTTGATCCGTGTAAATTGACATGGGTTGCATGTTAGGTCGACCGGGGTTTTTACTGGCATATGAACAGTACTTCCTCGCCACAAAAAAAAAAAAATTATCATTTAGGTCAAAATCATACTAAAACTCGAACATAACTAAGTAATCTCAATCAAATAAAGTTTTAATCTATCCCAACTTCCTTATTCTAAGTCAGATCATCACTAAAGAAGTGTAAGCAACATGAACAACCATGCACATGAAGCTATTCAGAGTAGGGAGTTCTGCAAGTACTAAGCATGAAAATGTCAATCAAGTCAGTATAAAATTATAAGAATTAAAGAGAGAAAAATAATATTGGATGATTAAGCCATTGACATCACCTCCACCAACTTAATTATCATTACAATTTGTGTTCAAAGATGGTGACAATAAATTATTTTATATACTGAGACCCAAGTTCACACAAGCTCCACCAATGGACCCTGCATTTTTAGTAAATTAAGTTCAAGTAGTAATGCTAATTTTTTTTAAAGTATTTGTGTGAACATGGATTAATTTAATATTAACATATATCATTCAATCTTGAATTAATTTCATATTATTAAAATTATATCTATATAAAATTAAGAAAATGAAGCAAAAAAGAAAGTACAATACAAATACTATGAATTTCTAATAAATGCTAACATTAATATATCAACCTCATAAATTTAACAACTCTAACAAAGCCTACCATACCAAAAGGGAAGAACTTAAATTCAGTACAATACAATTGATTAAATCCATACAATAGCTCATCAACTTTTTTTATAACTATAACACACTTACATCAAAGTAAAATATATATTCATTTCACTACAAGATAACTCCTGTTTTGCCACCCAAAATTAAGGCTTCGTTTGGGATGGCTTTCCTCCTGCTTCTTAAAACTGCTTTTTAGTATAAAAATTTAAAAAATTATACTAAAAAGTCACTTTAAGAAGCAATAAGAAAGCCGTCCCAAACGAAGCCTAAGATTTATGAATAGTATGCTTTGGCCAAAAATGACTTTCTAAAACAGTGCATTGATTCGCTTTGCTTCTAAAGCGAGTTTGTAATAAAACTGCTCATATTACTCTTAGCCTAACATCTAATGATTTGTTTGGTAGCTGGCAAGTCAAAGGATGTGGGACTTCGCAAGTAAGGCACGGTTCATTCGGCTAAAAAAAAACTATTGGCATTGAACAAAACTAATGCAAATTAAACACTTTGTAGTGGTCATGTCATGCGACTGAACTAAAAAGTGGAGTGATGACAAGCAAATATAGAACATTTGCAGCAAAAACACACAAGATAGATTAATTATCTGAATATTGCAGCCCAATTAAAACAATAAGATGCACTTAAGAATAAGATTATCAAAGATACGGTGATAGAAATACGAATGTCTCACTTGATGAGACGATTCTGCAATATCTGGAGGAGAAATCTCGACGCATGCAGATTGCAGCAATATCATCCCTTACCAGCGGTTGAATTGACGACCCCACTTCGGCAATTAATACTACTATTGAGATCTAAAGACAGAAGAACTGCAGCTACGGCTGCAAGCGAACCAAACGTTCGACGAGCTACTCGCTGTTCAGTCCGATTAAAGCTCATTTGTGATTGTTTAATTAACTAAACAAACAAACTTGAATAATATTTTAAATACTCGATTCTTAAATAAACAAACTTGAACACTAATGTGTTTGACTCATTTATGTTCGTGAACAACATCATTTGAAGTTCGTGAACAAGCTCGACATTAAGTTTGATAAGAAGCTCGATTCATGTTCAATTTTGAACTCATGAATAGGCTTGATAAAAATAATTAATATTTGACTATAGAATTAAAAAATATAAATAATCATTACCCTTGTTACATAGACAATTGCTTTTATTATAAATGTGTTTTGTCATATATATGTTCATGAACATGTTTATTTGATAGTTAAAAAAAATTCGTTAAATATGTTTACGAACATGCTCGATAAGCACTAAACAAACGAACATGAACTGAACATAAACACTTATTAATTTAAATGAACACAAACAGTAAAGCTCGAACAAGCATGAACCAAACTTGAACAAGCTGATATTAAATGAACACAAACATGAACACTCACATACTCGGCTCGGCTCAGTTTGTTTGCAACCCTAGGTCCCTTACCGGTGGTAGAATTGACGACTCCACTTCGGCAATTATTACTACTATTGAGATCTAAAGACAGAAGAACAGCAGCCAATAATCTCACCCTCCGGGCTTGGGATCGGCATTGACAATTTTAAATAATATTTGCATGATATTTCCTTTACATTAAAAAAATGCATTGTTCTTGCGAAGGAGAAAAAATTAAGAATATTAGAATAATCAACTTAGAGAAAAGTTAAATATTTTAATGTATTAATGAATGAATTGAACAATAGGAAGTATAAATGAGCCATGCTTTGGAATGTTTATAATTTTTCCTACAACAAAAGAAAATTTTACATGGACATCTAAAACACAATGTACACAAATAACAATTCTACAATTCCCAAGTTAATAAAAAAAAGTCAATTGGTAGTTGGGTAGAAGTCTAACGTCAGTTGGAAGTTAGGTAGAAGTCTGGCGATGGGAATAAGTTTGGTGTCGAGTAGAAATCCGGCAACAGGTGGAAGTCCAGCATCGAGTAGAAGTCCTACAACAAGCATAAGTCCAGTGATAGACGAAAATCCAGTGTTGGGTAGAAATTTGATGATGGTCGGCGGACGGACATAACTTCAACATTAGTTGGTGTTCGGGCAGAACTCCGATGTTGGTCGGCTGTCGGGTAGAACTCTAGCGTCGGTCGGTTTCTAGGTGGAAGTCTGACAGTGGTCGAGGAGGAGTCTCTTCATTCTCTTCATTTTCTTCCCTTTCTTCCTTTTTTTCTTGCTTAATTCCTGTGTAAGTTGACAATATGGCAGAACTCCGGTGTTGGTCGGCTGCCGGGTGAAAGTCTGACGGTGGTCGATGAGGAGTCTCTTACTTCTCTTCTTGCTTGGGCCTCCTCCTTCCCCATTTAGGGGTCCCCTTTTTGAGAAATGAAGGGTCTATCTATAATTTTCTGAGAGTAGCATGACCAGTAAATAGGAGGAATATCAGGATTAAATGGGGAGTGGTTCGAATGGATGACCAATATTGATTCCCTTGATCATAGATCATTTACTAAACATTTAAATGTCTTAAGGATATCAAAATTTGGTGATCTTGGGCTCGTTGGAATTGTCTCATCGAACTACTTGATTCGACTGTAAGTATGTCACATTTGGAGATCGTTTGGTAATCCAAATTATGGTTTGAACCTTCCAAATGTGCTTCGGATATTTGATTTGGACTAATTTAGGCTCAGATTGAGTCGAATTTGGTGTTGTTAGTTCACATTTTTTAGATGTTTAGTTCGACTATAAGTTTCTTGAAATCAGAATTCAGATGATCTTCAATTTAACTTTTTAGGTTTCCAACTTAATTTTTTCCTTGAGATCCGTGCTTGATCAAGATAAATTTTTTATGATATAACAATTTCGATTGGCATATACATTTCCATGTATTTCTCATTTGTTTTTCCATTCATAACTTAGCACCCTCTTAAATCAAGATTGATTTCCTAATAAAGAGAGGTGATTAACTTTTAGGGACATCCAATCATACAAAATTTCAAACCATGGATCTAAATAAGGTTTGATTAATGACTAAGTACGATTTAATTTTAATTTCAATTCTAATTATCATCAATGATATAATGATATATTTGATATTTTATTAATTGAAAATCCTCCAATTAATTTGTTAATAATTTTTTGAAATAAATAATTATTTAACTAATAACTCTACTAATAATTAATTAATTAAGTATTATTTAGTTAGTTTTAATTATAAATTATGCTATTAATTATCTTATTAATTACTTAAGTATTTTACTACTTATTAATTATTTAATTATAAAGTATACTGTCAATTACTAAATTATACAATTAATAATATCTATTTCAAATAATATTAATTAAGCTAATTATATTATAATTTAATTACTAATAATACAATTACTTATTTAATTAAGTTAAATTTGATAATTAATTAATGCATTAATTCCACTCATAATTATTTAATTAATTTACTTAATTATTAATATTTCAAATTATACTAATTAAGCTAAATTATATTAATTTCTTCCTAATATGTTAATAATCATCTAGGGTTTGTTTTTCATCTTGTCTATTTAGTCATTGCCACTCGACTTCGTTGCTTCATGTGAGGTAGTTGCACAAGTCGCTTCTTTGGCTCCTTTGTTGTTGTTTGACTTCGCTCCTTTGACGAAGTTCTATTCATGTCAGATTGGAACTCACAAGATTTTAATCAGAAGCAAATACAGGAGCTCGCTCGTTGTGAAGGTAACCATATTTCTCCCTTTCACGCACTTCTTCGGCCAAATCCCCTAAATCTGTCAAATTTCAGGATTTACTAAATCCGAGATTTACGATCCAAAGAGGGAGACGGAGGATTTATTATGTTATGAGATTTAGCGAGTGCTCAAATCCCATTTGGCAGGATCATCAAGCATGATTTAACTTTAGTGGGATATATCAAATAATGTAAATCCTGAATAAATTCAACTAAAATTAAATCCTAAAAATTGTTTGGCAACATAAACCTTAAATCTTGCTAAATTATATGAAATTATTTGAGAATGAAATTCATGATTTAAAGAGATTAGTTTACTAAAAATTCAAATTTAATTTATATTTATAATACAAGTTACTTATTCATTTTAATTTAAATTGTCATTAATAAATTGCAATAACAAATAATATAAATAGAAGCAGTTTAACAATTAAATAATTTAACTAATAATATAATTATCATTTAGAATATTAATTATCTAATTTAACTTAGGGATATTAATTAGTTTAATTAATTATATAACTATTTTTTATTATTTTGAATAGTTATTCTAATTAATAATTAATTACATTATTAATTATCCTATTAATTTTAATTTTTAATTTATATTAATTAAATAACTTAAATTAATTCCTAATTAATCACGGACTATTTTCTCCTCCTCTTTCGTCCCTTCTGCGTTCGTTGCTGTTGGAGTCTGATTGCTTTGTGTGAGGTAGGGTTTTGAACGAGTCGCTAAAGCCTTCTACGCCTCCTTCGACGACGTTCCTTCCCGTCGAAGCGGAAGTCGCGGAAGTTCGCCGTTCTTCTTCTCGGATCGGACGCAGCCACGGGAGCTCGCTCGCTGTGAGGTAACTGTCTTTCTCCCTTTCGCGCGCTTCTTCAGCCAAACCCCGTAAATCCGTCGAACTCCAGGATTTGGTAAATCCAGGATTTATTCCGCCGTGAGATCTACTGGCTGCTTAAATTCTGTTTTGACAGGATTTAGCATAAATCCTGTTGCCAAACAGCCCCTAAAGTCTCGTTTGCATAAATCCTTTATCTAAACAGCCCCCAAATCTTTCCTCTTTTCGCTGTAATCGGAACTTCTCAAGAAGCTTGGCTATCAGGCTGAGCTCACTAAAGTAAGTGCCTAGATCCGCTTTTTCCCAGTTCGCAAGGTTATTTGCTAGTACTTGATTATCTGGATTCCTTTGGCATCAGAAAAACTTGAAAGATTGAATTTTGTGTCGTTCTTACTTGAATTCTAGTTGTGATTATTTTTATTGTTAAGTGTGGGTATCGTTCTCTCTCAAATCTCAATGGTTCTTAACACAGGAATGGACTCAAATGGGATCAATGAGGATTCATCGAGACAAGTTCGTGTCCGCTTTGTGACGAAGCTACGTCCGCCCTTTAAAGTTCCAACGACTTCCATTGCAGTTCCCGCTAATCTCAGTCGAATGGGACTCTCAGAGATAGTGAACCTTCTTCTCAAGAACAGTACTGCACGTGCCTTCAGTATTTTCTTCTTCTGCTATTTGAGAACTAGCATTCATCCAAAGTTTTGAATTTTTTTTTTTAAATGTTGTTCATTTGTTAAGCTCCTTTCAATCCAATTAGCTCTTACGAAATGAGCCTATTATATCCATACTGAAATTCTATCCTAGGGTATGTTTGACAGCAAGTGGGATGTAATGCAAATAGTATTTGGTAAATTTTGTAAATCCAGATCTATCAAATCTTGGAGGAATCAAATCTTGGAAACTATTTGGCATGATATATGTTAAATTTTGTTAAATCCTAATAAATTGTTTGAAAGTTATTTTCAGAACTTAGGATTTAAATAAAAGGAAATTAGAGGCACAATGAGAAGTGGAATATATATCTTAGGATTTAAAAAAAAGGGAAAAGGAGGCACAAATTTTTTTTGGCTACTTAGGATCAGCTTTTCTAGGATGATTCATACAGCATATAATGCATAAGTCAGACATTTATAATGTTAATAGCTTCTTTGTATTTCTGATTGTTATAAATAGGTAATACAGAGTTTCAAACTACACCTTTTGACTTTCTAATTGATGGGGAACTTATTCGAATGCCGCTAGAGCAATTTCTGCTTGCAAAGGGTATTTCTGCCGTAAGTATGCGCGACTTTTAATTTTTTGGAGGCTTGATTGTACTAGGCATTGTATGAAGTGCTGATTGGCACATTAGGGGAGAGCTTGCACTTGGAAGATTTGAATTGTGTGTGATGCGTTGCATTTGCAGGAAAAAATAATTGAAATAGAATATATAAATGCTGTAGCTCCTCAAAAGCAGAGAGATCCATCTTTGCATGATGATTGGGTCAGCACAGTTGATGGAACTAATCCACGGTATTTACATGCATATTCTCAGTCTCTTTTTTTTTTATTGGTCCAAGTTTAATCTTATCAACTGTTTTATTTTTCTTGTATGGTATTCATTTTATGAGTTTCCATTGCCATTAACTTCTTGAACGAGATACATATTGCATGTTTGTAGTTTGCTGCTGCACGCATCATATATGACTGATTTGCCAAAGATTCATTTTGAGTTAACATTTAACCTTAACATTAGGTGGGAACAAAGGTGTAAATGAGTCGAATCGAGTCTAGTTTTAGCACTATCGAGCTCAGCTCGTTAGTCGGAAAGCAAGCTCAAGCTCAAGCCCAAGTCGACTCGTTAGTCGGAAAGCAAGCTCAAGCTCAAGCCCAAGTCGAGTTCAAAAGACGAGCTCGAACTCGAGCTCGTCCCACTATAAACGACCTCGAGCCGGTCGATTTCTCATACGTTCCATTTTTATTTTCCCGCCCACTTCTCTTTTTCCCGCCTGTGAATGTCCAATGGAAAGTTTGTATTTTTACCGCCTATGAATGGCTACCATCTTGAAAAGCTACCATCTTGAAAAGGACATTTTGCATTAATGAAAGCTTCCTTCACTTGAAACGAGACAATGAAAATAAACTATATGAATTAACATGAAAAAAAACCCTTTGGCTCCCATATTACAAGCCGGATGCCATCAGTTTTTTTTTTAAATATCCTAAATATACTAATTTAGGCCGGCTCGCAAGCCGAGTCTCGTCAACCTCGAACTCGAGCTCGTGGCTCGATAAACTCTGTTCGCGAGCTTGTTAACGAGTCGAGCTCGAGCCAACTCGCGAACCGGCTTAGCTCACATACACCCCTAGGTGGGAATGTTGGATGATTTGATCCGTAAATATGAATGTTTTGTTTTCTAGATTCTCATCTGTTTTCGTATGAGCAGTTTGTGTTAATTTAATAGATTTTACATTATCTAAAATACGATATGGTGAGCTCTACTATTTGAAGTGTTATTCTTTATTTACCTGTGATGTGAAGGCAATAATCTAAATTAATATCATGGATATGACTTTAAGCATAATGTGGGGTCTTTGCCTGATGGTTAATCTCTTCTTTTTTGTTTTCGATTTTGTTTGTAATAACCTTTAATTGATCATTTTTTAAAACATTTTCATTATTACATTTTCCCAGTTTGAGAGAGATGGTAGAAGTCTTCAGAATGTTTTTAAAGTGCTTCATTATATAGTGATGATTTCTAATTGTTGCTATTATGACTATAAATTCTACAATGCAGCTTGGTAGTATTTTGTATATGGTACAGGATGGTTATGGCTCTAATACAGTTGCTTTATTGCTTTCGTAGCAATGTTGGCTGAACCAAAATTGGAGTCTGTCTTTACTTTTGCTTACATATGCCAGCATAGTTGTATTTGTGGAGAACAAGCTACTTTAGTTGGATTTGAAACCCCATTGATGCTTGCGGTGTCAAATGTGTTTTTATCCAACAAGATTTTGTAAAGAACTGCTCTTATTTTATTTATGCTGCTAATTTTTTTTTTCTTTGCAGATTTGTTTTGACTGGTTGCTATGATAATCTCGCTAGGTAAATGCTTAATTTCTCTTATTACTTAAGATTTGTTGCATTTCTTCTGCAAACCAGATGTAAAAAAATGCGTGACTTTTTTGACTTTATTACCTTCCTTTTTAGGATATGGAAAGATGGATCAATTTGCACACACGTCTTGCAAGGGCATAATGGTGCAGTTACATCTGTCAATATAATCAATCATAAAGGTTGCTAATTCAGTACTATTTCACTTGTGGATACTTACAAAACGCTCTAAGTATTTGATCATTTATTTATGCTTTTTCAGCAACTTCTAGCACTAGCAGTAATGACATATGTATAGCCACTGGTTCAAAAGACAAGACGCTGAGGCTCTGGATGGTACTTCACATGCTCATTTTGACTCATTCGTTACAAACTTAATTTGTTATCTTCTATACTCATCTTTCATCATTGGAAGTTTGATGCAGTGGAATCTGGTAATAATCCAGTTAGGATCGGAGCATTTAAAATTCTCAAGGGACATACATCATCAGTGCAGAGCATCTCAGCAAAACCTTCTGGAGACATGGTTTGATACTTATCTAAATTTTCCTTTGAATCTTATGATATTGTTCTGTTGATCATGTATTTTTTGTCATTACTTTTATGCTAAGTATGTGATTTACCCGCATTTTTAGGTATGTTCAGGGTCCTGGGACTGTTCGATAAAGTTGTGGAAAGTAGCGTCTGAAGGAGATGGCGACTCTGTGTCAGTGAAGAAAAGAAGGCTTGTAGATGATGTTGATGAGCCACAGTTGGAGGTATCTGTAGCCAACTTTTTGTTCAATTGTTATACAATTGTGGTAAATTAATGATTAGTTAATGACGTTTTTGTAGTGTGTTATTTTAAGACCATTCTAAAATTTTTCACTATTGTGTTCCAGATTAAAGACGAATAATAATGGTGAGTGATGCTTAATTTTAGTTTTTGAATAAAGGAAGTATAATAAAGACAAAAACTTAAGCTTGATTAAGAGAGGGTATGCTACAAGTTTCAATTTTAAAGATTGCTTTGTTGAAAGGTTTGGGGTCTCCCCTTTCTAATGCTAACTTTATCATACGTGGGTTTCTTTGGGACTGTATAATTCTCTTAAGTCATCTTTTGATGATCAGGAATATACTAACACAGGGACATATCATATTGTAAGATGATTAGATAAGTGAATTTTTAAATTTTCGTACATAATTAGTGGACAATATTATACTCAAGTAGCCGAGGAAGTTAGAAAAGGTCGAGTTACTAATCAAACATGACTTCTTAGATGGTCCTAGTGGAGATAAAATTTTATTTGATTCAGGGAATATATAATATGAGAGACTGAAAGGTGGAATGATATTTCCATTGTACTCTTCAAAGGAAGAAGATAAGGAAAAATCTTGCAACCTTGAATGATGATCCCCACTACTTTGTCTGCCTGTGTTTCAGTTCCTGGGAATTAAAGGTCAAATATGACTTCATAGATGGTCCTAGTGGATAATATCTCTGTAATCCTGTATGGATGGTGGATAACCTTATACAGTACTAGCTGAGGAAGTAAGCAACGGTTGAATCAATAATCAAATATGACTAGTGGAGATAACATTTTATATGATTCAAAGGATTTAAAATATGAAGAGACTGAAAGGTGAAATGATGCTTCCATTTTACTCTTAAAAAGGAAAAAAAAGAAAAAAAAAGAGAGGAAAAACTAACAATCTTTAGACATGAAACTCCTGTAATTTGTTTGCCTGTGTTTTACAATTAGATTAACACAATTGCTTCCACGCCAATGTTTTATTTACTACTTAGGGGTGGTCAACTGAAAATAGGAAGACTATAATACGATTGTGCGCAGCCATTCAGAATTACAAACTTTCAACTGGTCCATAATATTTCCATCAATTGATGAATTCCAAGAGAGTTATGAAGTGAAAGGGAGGAAAGGCGAAGGGTAGTTGTAGCTTCTTACTTTTTCATAGGAGCTTTACCTTTAGTTGATTATGGTCAGTTTATCACTAGACTGATTGAATTTCTTCAATCTCAAATCAACTAGTATAATATGTTACATGACATGGGAACATTTCTTTTGGTCTAAATTAAATGGAGTCAATTCATGGATGGACTAATGATAGATTAGCTTCTGTTGTTAATTCATGCAAAATAAATAAGATTCAAACAAAAAGATACCGTTTCTTTTTCCTTTTTTTCAAAAGATCTTACTTGATGGTTGGAGTCAATATTGTTTCAGTGGATTCTGGAGCTACTGCCTTGCACAAATTTCCTCATACTTCTATGTACATCTTTTTCTTTTTTTTTTCCCCTTCCTTTCCTGTATATCCTTTGCAATCATGGTAGGCTAAAACTGACAAAGCTATATTTTGTATATAATTTGTAATATTCAAATCATTTGTGCTCTGTTGTGTAGAATTTTTGTTTTCCTCCCATGTAAAAATAATGCATAAATTATTGATTTTGCTTCACATTTCTTCTTCAGTTAAAGTTAGTTACCACAATCTTCTCATTATTTTTCATTCAGGAGGATGCTACAGCAGAACTCGTGGGTCATACACAGTGTGTATCATCTGTTGTCTGGCCAGAATCACAAACCATATATTCAGCTTCATGGGACCATTCTATCAGAACCTGGGATGTTCAAACAGGGAAAGCAACTTTGAATATGGTAAGATATAGATGTTCAATTTTGAATCTTAAAAATTCTAGTTCAACAAAACCAATAATCAATGATTCTGTGTTCAATTTGGTGTTTGGAATAAAACCTATATTAACGGACTTCAAGTGAAGAACATAATTTTATTGCAAATTTATATGAATTGATGATTCAGTCTTCAGTTTTAAAATGTGGCAATGGTGTTTTATCTTTCTGTGGAATAGACTTCTCGCTTTCAGATCTGAGCCTTAATTATGACTAGCATGAAATTTCCCCTCTAGGATATTGTCTTTACATTGCAGTTGATAATGTGAAACATCAACTATATTATTGAACAGGTTTGTGGGAAAGCACTCAATTGTCTTGATGTTGGAGGTGAAGGGTCTGCACTTCTTGTTGCTGGGGGCTCTGATCCTGTCTTGAGAGTCTGGGACCCACGCAAACCTGGTAAATAACTTGAAAATTCTGCATGTCTCCATTTTCCTGAGTTTTATGAACGTTAGACTATTTGTTTCAGGTAGCACGGCTCCTATTTTTCAATTTTCTTCTCATTCATCTTGGATTAGTACTTGCAAGTGGCACCCGAGATCAATATTTCACTTGCTTTCAGCATCTTATGATGGGAATGTGATGTTATGGGATTTGAGAACTGCGGTATGGTGCCACTTTTGTCTGTTGCTGTCATTCACCTTATGTTCTGATTAACATTCAGATTTTTTGACAATCTTTTTTTGGTTTCAGTGGCCTTTGGCGAAAATAGATATGCACAAGGACAAGGTAGTGATTAATTGTTATTTTTGTATATTCCCACATCTAAATTTATATGTTTGACATTCTGAGTTATCCTTTGATGGATTCAGGTACTATGTGCAGATTGGTGGAAAGATGATAGTATTGCTAGTGGGGGAGCTGATTCAAAACTATTTATTTCTTCAGGGATATCAATAAGTTGAAGCTCTTCAACGGTAATCTCTGTTTTCAATATTCTTTTATTCATTTTGCTTTGAATTAATCGACTGTTAAAACTAGCATTTGGTTTGACAAATTGTTTTTCTTTCAATCTTTAGGCTAAATATGTTGTAACATACAATATTCTTAGCAGTTAAGGCAATAAAAAAAACTAGAAAAAGTTGCATTTTAATGAAATGCTAAATTTATGTGCCCTAGTAACATTTTAACTGGGATAGGAGAAGTTAGGATTTAGTTCAAGTGAAGTGCATTAAGAATCAATATCAAAAGAATACTTTTTTAGAATAGGATATTCAACAAAAATGAATGGGATATTTTAATAAACTTTTCAATAAAGATTGTGACAATACGATTGACTTTAGTGACCTTAGCACCCTAAATGAAAATAAAGATTTTTGTTTTAATCGGCATATTAATAAAATTGAAGTTAGAGAGATGTTTAAAAGAAAAATGAAGTGTGGAAAAGCTGTTGGACTTGATGATATTACAATAGAGGTATGAAAAGCTTGGGAGATGAAGGAATTTCTTAGCTTATGAAACTTTTTAATATTATTTTGAAGACTTAAAAAATGTCAGATGAGTGAAGGAGTGTGCTGATTCCTAATTTTCATGATAAAAGTGATGCACAAGATTGTGCAAATTATAGATGAATTAAATTAATGTGTCTTACTTTAAAACTATAAGAGAGAGTTATTGAGCATAAGTTATGACATGATACTAATGTTTCTCAAAATCAATTTGGATTCGTGTCGGGTAGGTCTACTATGGAAGCTATACATTTTTTTAAGAGTTCTAGAAATTAAAGGGGTTAATAATGTTTATATTCAAATAATTAAGGATATGTATGCAGGAGCTATTTGCTTAGTCAAACACAAGAGGGATTGACCAAGTATTTTCCTATTTCAGTTGGATGACATAAAGGATCAGCTTTAAGCCCATATCTTTTTGTTTTAGTCATGGATGTTCTTATTAGATATTTGCAAGAGTATGTACTCTCGTATATGCTTTTTGTTGGTGATATTCTTATTGTTGATAAGGCTAGAGAGAGAGAGTTGAAGGTAAACTTGAATTATGGAGTTTAACCTTAGAGTCTAAAGACTTTTATTTGAGTAGATCTAAAACCGAATACAAGGAATATAATTTTGACTGTGATAGATCTAACGAGGGGATTGTGACTTTGGGTGATCAAGTCATAAGAGTACGTGTTTTAGATATCTCGCGTCCATTGTTCAAAGTGATGGTGAAATTGATGGATATTATTAGTAGAATTTAAGTTGGATGGTTGAATTGGATGAGTAGCTTCACTCTTATTGGCAAATGTGAAACGAGTATATGCGTGAAAAGGTTAGAGTAGCTCTATTGGTAGATTAGATTAGAGAGAGCCGCTTTAGATGGTTTGGTCACACAAAACGCCAGCCTTTTGATGACTTGGTTAGGGGATTAGATGTATTGGATTTGACCAATGTTAAGAAACGTAGATGTAGACCTAAAAAGACTTAGTTATAAAATATTAGAAATGACTTTTTTTAATTAGATTTAAATAAGAATTTGTCTCTTAACATGACACAATATAGAAAAAGATTCATGTTGTCGATCCTATTGTAGTGGGATGAAGGTTTAATGTTATTGTTATTGTTGCAGTAGTAATATTTTAATTGCTTAAGGGGTAATTTATCATGCTAATGTCTCTTTTGTAACTACATATTTCTAAAAATAGGCTATCATCTCAAGAAAGTTAGAGAGATCAATTGCATTAAGTTGGAGATTGAATTTAGAGGCTATTTTCTCTCTACACATGAGAATCTAAAGCATCAACAAGGCACTGCTGACATATTGCCATGAAGCAGTAAGTGAAGAGCTTCATTTTTGCTCATATTATATGTATCCTTTTAAAGGAATTTTTAGATTAGTTTAAAATTGATGTATTTTATTGATGATCTGAAGGTTCATATATCCTTAAAACAAACAAAGAGAACTAACTAGTTCAATTATTTTCCTTCAGGAATCCACTGAAAACTCTGCTCTGTTTTTTATTATGCTTATGGATGGAATCATATTTTCAGGAATCACATTTTTTATCTTACCTCAACCAAATGGCTGATCTTACGCTCTAAATTATATATTAACATGATATGAATATTTTAACTATATTATCATTATTAAAAATGAAAATTTATTAAGTTTTATTGTTATAAGTAATTATAATTATTAATTATATTAATACAAATTAGATATTTTTTGTTAAAATTATAGTAGAGAAAATATATTAATATAATTTTACAATTCAATACTTAAAGACATTTTTTCCCCTGTAGGTCTAGTGATGTCATGAAAACATTCAATTAATATTTCAAAGAAAAGTTTAAAATTTTATCATAAATATGAGACTATGTCTGATTTTAATATACTAAATTAAAAAGATAAAAGAAATTCTAAACTTATCTTAATTCATTCATAAAAGAACTGCTCAATCATAATAAAATTTTATTGTGTTACAATAATTCATTGAAGAACACTTTTCATAATGAAAATATGCTTGTTTTTAATGATAATGAGATTAATGATGAATTAACAAGAGAAATAATACTAATTATCAATAAAGTTTTTTCTTAATATAAATCAATTTTCGGATATAACAAAATATAAGTGAGTATAATAGTCTTAAATTCATAATTTAATAAAATAAATTGAATTCAATTTATTTTTTTAAGGAAAAAATTGTGCCCTTAGTCAACTAAAAATAACCTCAAATAGAATTGCAATCGATGCAATATTTTAAAATTAAATTAAAGTGACAATTAATGTTGCCACCCAAATTGTGATATTTAAATTATAAAATTCACAAAATATTAGTTATGATGTATAATAAGAGAATAACTAATGAAGATTAAGCATAAATGGAATAAGGAATGCCACTTTGGATGGAATAATACCATGCAGCTCCATAATGCAGGGAAGTCCACCTCATTCAGTTTTGGAGAAAGCACTTCATCAAAATAATAATAAGAAAAAAAATGCATACAAACAATTAAAGAATGATAGAATTGATTCTAACATTTCAACGGAGGAGAAATTATTGTATGCAGTGTTCTGACGTATAGCTTATGTCCAGACTCTAATGAAAGGCGGCCATGTTGTCGTTACACATACTGTACATACTGTGCAAGTGTGTGTATTAATACATCCACCGTGTACAACGACGTCGCCGTTAGGACTTCGCACATAATAATTTCTTTTAACTAAAGGAGTGCTAGTGCCACCTATATAGCTTATTTTTGAAGTACAAAACATCAAGGATAAATCATGAACTTCAATACAATAAAATTCAATATCTCTAAAGGATTTAACATTTTTGGTCATTTATTAATATTTAAGATCATTACATAGAAATTTTCTCAAATCTTGGAGTGAAAACTAAAGTTGATTTTCTGAAGACAGAATGGATACTTGATTTTCTTAGAGTAAAAGAAATAAAAAACAAATCATAAAGTTTCATATAGTAAAATTCAATACCAATATAGTAATAATCCCATTTCATGTTATATAATCTTAATTTAAAGTACAAAACAAGTAATCTGTAAGCAATTTCATAAGTTGGATACAGGATTGGGTTGCCTTTCCTCTACTCCAGGCTCTTTGGGTGGGAAAATTATTTTGTGCGGTCACCGGACCGTCCGGAGTTGAATTAGGATGGATGTGCCTCATCAGCTACGTTAGGATCATGGGGATTTATGATGCAATAATACTTGTATTTAGATTATGAATTATCATGAAATCCAAATAATAAAAATATTTTTATTACATTTTATTTCATCTCATCAAAAAACATGTATAATAATCTAGTTTACTTTCAATCTATATTTGATATACCTTGACTATCTTGATCCAGAGGGTCCTGTATCTACCCTTTTTCTACTCTGCCATGACTTTTCCTTTTCTTGAAATGTTAGAGAATTCACATAGTAAGCACAACTAGCTCAGTAAACGTTTTTCTTTTCCCATCACAGATATCAATATCCAATTATAATATAAAATAACAATTTATTAAAAACTCAATAATTTAAAAAGAATAAATAAGATAGGAAAGAACATGATTCTTTAAAGTTAGCATAGTATACCTTGTCTCAGAGTTACTACTTATATTTTTTACAAAAAAAAATATTAAACAACTTACCATCAGTATTTTACTTGAATTTCTCATTTTATAAGAAATCATGCAGAAGTTCAAAAATTTTGGAATCAGATCAGAACATCATTCATAGTTGAATTTTGAAGTTATCAAAATATGCAATGGATGAATATGATGCACATATCCTGAAGCCTACTTATAACTTTACTTTCACTTAGAATTCTCTTTAACCTCCCATACCCATATATATCAAGTGGGGCTACAATATGTACATAACATAATAGAGTAGTCTCATGCCTACTTTTATCAAATGAGACCAAAATCTCTTACACATCCACACAAGGCACTAAAATAGAATATATATGGCCTTTGTAACATTTCATATAGTGCACTTTCTATTTTTTAGATTTAGAACTTCTCCAATGCCACGCCATGCATTATACATTTTAAATGCAATAGTGGGCTATCATGGCTTTAGCAAGTAACTATAATGAAGCATGTATTACATTAATTGCCAACATAATTTATAGTGTATTTAAAACTCTACTGAGTGAATTTTTTTAAATTCTAATTATAACTTCACATGGATATTCAAATTAACATTTTAAGACTTTCATATAACAATTTATAATGCCAGAAAAGCCTCAATCATTTTATACCCATATTCCTTGTAGAAAAAACTAATTAGTGAAAATCTAATTTCTTATAGTCAAAACATTTATAATGAAGCATACGACAACTTACTAAAAGCTATATGATGAATATTCTGAATTTCGTAGAATCTTTCAAATTAAAATCTTGGCATCATGACAATGCCATTCTTAACACCATAATGCCTCCATCAACACTTCTCCAAACAGATCAGGATGCCGCAATGTCACCAATCTTAGCGCAGTGGTGCTCCTAAAACTCTTAGCATGTTAGATTTTCTCTTATCCAAAAGCGAAATCCTGGCTTGCTAGAGCTTAATTCAACATTAGAGTATTCAAAATTACTAACCAAATCAAAATTTCACAAACATTTACATTAATTTGCATTAATTACTTGGGTTATGGTATAGTGGGTAGTACATGTCACCTTCTTATTTTATGAAATTTCAAGAAAAGTGCAGAGTCTAGTAAAGTCAAGGTTGATAAGGGTAGGATCATCAGGAGCTTGGTATTAAAGTATTTTGTAATCCATATATAACCGATTATGTTCCTCAGAGCACTATCATCTGACTCCTTATGATACCCAATGTCTAAATTTAAAATAATTGCATATTTCATATCTTAATTATTCTACTATAACAACTGACTCCATTCATTTAAGTAAAGCTTACATAAATATTTATATATATTGAAATATTTCACTATATTCATTAATTATTAGAACTTATTTATAATAGCCAAAAGTTAAATCAAATATTAGTCTATCTTTCTATAATTATGACTATAAAAGAATAAAATAAAAGTGTGTAGACCTAAACTTGAGATTTTAGAAATCATATCTATCTCGCCCACCTTGATCCTGCCCCCTTCCTAAAAATATGTAAAAATCATAGAGTGAGCTAACAACTCAGTAGTTTATTAGAACCTACCACCACAATCAATCATATGCATGTAGTCATTCAATCTCAATCAGTATAAACATATAGTAGTAAAAATATATAATAATCAACACGAACAGTGTCATTTCATATAATATATATAAATCAATACTAGTAACATAACTCAAACATAATTAATGATCAATGATCATAAAAAGTATCAACATGTTCTATCATGAAATTATGCATGCCTATAAGTTATACCTTATTAAAATGTATATGCCATTTCATATATATTGGTATACATGTCATATCAAGTGATTGTTCTATAGTTGCATGAATATCATACAATATCAATACATGTATATCATATTCTATGTCAAATTTAATGTATCATGAATCCATACATTTCATAGATATCATATGTACTTGTATCAAACTTATCGGTCTTATTATATGCCTATATCAGTCATACCCTATATCATATTCATATCACTTATATAATTTATCATATATGCTCATTCATATGCATATGTAAATAAGGTAGGATAATTGGCTACTTGTGGTGTTTTTTCTATAATAAGTCATGCAAGTCAATCCTTTAGGAATCAATCCTATATCACATATTATAAGTTAGGTGAATTTCATGTAAGAAGTCATCACTTTCTACCCATCGGTGTATCATATCATATTAATCAATCTCCTTGTATCTCGATTTTTATATCACTTAGAATTACACTACAACCTTTATTTAAATGATAGCCTATGAACCTACCTTCCTGTACAGGATAATATGTCTTAAGATAACATGAACCAGTTAATTATTTTGAGCAAACCTTTTCTTGCTTTTACACATATTTTATCATCTGTTACGTTTGCTCACCTTAGTGGTGGGGAGGATAATACAAAAAGCTGTGGGACTTTGTGTCTAGTAACAAGAAGTGGAACTAGAAAGCAAAAGAAGAACATTTCCAATGAAAGTATAAAAGATATAAAGGCTTGATCCTCTTTTTTACAAGCATCTGACACTAATTGGGAAGTTGGTGTATTTTCCAAGCTAGCAGCTCCTTCCTTAGACATTGATAAGCTTTACAATATTTCACTTTCAGGAGGCCTTTTGCTTGGTTCCTATTGATCTTAAAGAGGAATTGCGTATTGGCATATTCTGCTTTCCTTTAGTCTTTTTTTTTTTGGTTTTTGCTGCTTGCCATCCTTTTCATTTCCTACATTACTTTTAAAATTAGATGAAATCCTTTGCTAATGGGATTTCATTTTCTCTTTTTATCGTGCTCATTGAGAATTTAGGGATTTTTGGATCCTTCTTTAGGTTTTTATACTTACTTTTTTTTAAGATATAAAACTCCACTAAAAAAAATCAG